TTCGTTAGGACTGAAAATAATGAAAAAAAGTCACATCTCCGTACTAAAATAGTGTACACAAGCTGTATCGGTATTCCAACAAAATATCAAATTGGTGAAACAAAAAAATCGTGACTTTTTTTCTCGTTTGAACATATTATTTATTTAAAGTTTATATTTACACAGACTGTAGTTATTAATCAATACCACCAACAAAGTTCTATTGGCTCCCACTTGCACGAGCCTTAGAAATAAAGTTCAGGTTACTGTTTCTATCTCACTTATTTTACTGTTACACGAATGTTGATAGAGGTAAATTGAATTTCACGTTATTTTTTTTACACGTCTGTGAACAATGGGAGAAAATAAAAACTCCATATAACTGTGCTGACTAACCTGAACACATCTTTTCATTTGACTTACACTATTATAGAACTTTCGTTTATGAAGCAAAGACAGTGTTTGGTGAAAATAACACATATATTAGACAGTAAAATGGACTTATTCAATAGGATGTGGTGAGGGATTTTTAAACTTTTTATTGAAATTGTTGAATTTGATAGATATACATCCGTAACTCGTTTTAATAGAAACTTCTAGAAAGCTGTACATTTCCAAAGATGGAATCTCGTTTTCTTTTTTCCAAGCTAGCTAAGTTTCAAGATGAAATATTTTTCTCAATTGGCTGGCTCTCTCAAGTGCTCGAATCTTGGGGAATTTCGTGATAAGAGCTCTTTTTCAATTGGTTAGTTCTTTCGCGAGCAGAGAGCTTGCCGAATTTCATTTACTGGAGCGAATATTTTTATCACGTGTATATCAGTTTATCTCGAGTGTTAATAATACAAAACGGGTCAGTAAACGTGTTATTATAAAGTTCAAAGTAGGTACTACATTTTAAAAGCACGGAATTCTTTTAAAGTCAAGAGAAACTTCTAGACAAATCAAATAATCCTGAGTTGCACCTCCAATTGTCAGTTACTAGATACAACAAACTTCTTCCTTCATTAGAATTAGAGGCGAACTTCCAAATCGGCTTTTTTAAACTCTTTTTTTATCTTCTAAATCTATATATGCCTCTGTATCACGAAGTTTTTTAGTCTCTAAGTAACACACACACACACACAAATTAATAAATATATTATCAATATTTCAATTAACAGCACCCATTACTGCTGGACTCTCTGTTTCTTTTACAAAGAAAATGGGTGTTTTTGACCATTTATCGTCCCCACAGGATGCTGTAACGAACAAAACATAAAATTACTCCAACAGAAAACAATATAAAAAACAAGTCAGTAATTTGAAGGTTATCATTTATTACGTATTAAGAGTAAAAAACAACAACAAGAAGAAAGGCGTTTTTTTTTTTGGCACGATGAAAAATAAATCTGTATTAGTTTCGATAACACAGCTCTGATGAAGTTTGATCTCTTATTGTGCCAAAAAAAAACGTCGTTTTTCTACTCTTAGTTCCTTATATCCAGTGATCTTTTAAAGTGATCCTTAACGGTAGTAATGGATCCAATGTTTATCATTGGTGCTTAACTATTAGTAAATATGGTGATGTGCTTGTGAGACTTTTAAAGTTGAAGTTTTTTTCTTGTAAAAGAAACTTCGACTTAGTTAGGCTTACAGCCTGGGGGATTGTCTTCAGGAAATCGTAGAGGGAGTTACAGTAACCCATGTTTAGCAATTAACGTGAAATTCAGCGACGTAACAAATCCAATAAAAACTAGTAACGTGTTATACTCAACTTAAGTTTCCAACATAATTTAGGCCTATAAAAATCCAGCTTTTCCAATTATGATCACATTGTACGGTAATACAAAACGTTGATAATATTATGAAATCATGTTAACGGAGCTATATTAAATTACTATAAATTTGTTTCTGTATAGAACAATTGGTTCATGGGATGCATTTTTGTGTATATTATTAGAAATTAATAACAAAGCTTCAGGTACCCAATGATATATTTCTCTGTCGTTTTGGTACTTTGTATAGGTCTAAGTTTCTATTACTTATGAACGGCGGGAATAATGATAATCGAGCTACAAAAAGTACTTTAAAAATCACATTTAAATATTTTAAAAGTGAAATATCTCCAAATTAAAGAGTGATTGGATTGTGACAAAACAGAGTTCGGCCTCCTCAGAATATTGTCAGTCCTGGTCTTCTGATTGGAAGAAAAAACGTACCAGTGGGAGTTAAATAACAAAACAGTTATTGCAACGTTTTAAAACAACATGCGGGTCATATAATAATTTAAAAATGTAGATCCAATGCAAACATTTAGAGAGTGCCTCATACTTCTGTACTTAGTCTATTGATTTTGCAAAGTTGGCCACTAAAGGCAAGCTTCCCACCCCCCCCCCTTTCAAAATCCCAACTAAAACCGCTGGGGGCAACTAATGAATATAAACTTTGCTGATCACCGATCTAATTTCGAGAATCACTGAAGCAGACGTATATATATATATGTATGTATGTACATTCATGGTTGAGAAATTTCTTATAACTACAAAACATCAATGGCACACAGTGATTTTTTAGGCCTAAATGTAAGAACTGTTTTAACCGCAATACCATTTAATGATACGATCTGAGAGTATGAATAGTTTGCTGTTACAAACCATTCTCAAAACCAATCAATTTTCAGTGGCATCACACTGCCAAGAAATGTCAAAAATGTAGTTCTGATACATTCTGTTCCACCGCGACTTTGTATCGGCTGAGGTTCTGATTCACATATTCAAAATATATTCAAAGTATTTTAACCGAAACTTTCTAGCTACATAGTTATACGTAATGCATGTATTAAGCTAATTGTATTTCTTAGTTGAAAATATGCAACAACAAAGAACACTCAAAGTTGGCCTAACACCCGTGACAAAAATCACGTTAAACTAATTTTTTTTTATTTTACTAATCTTTTAACCTGTCCATTAAGGAGCTCAAATCTAAGATGTGCAAAAGTAACATTTTACATTTTATTCGATGTTTTGTCTCCCAAAATTCACTGCCCAGGAGGCCTTTTGTTCAATACCAGAACTCGATGAAGATTCGTTTGTTTCATAATCTTACGAAAAGCCACACAAAGGCTGGATTCACAGTACAGGCACACTGCGCCACTCCCATCACATGACGAAGAGAGACAAAAGTTTATCTGAAACGTTACTTACAGAAGTTTAAAGCTAGATTTAAACCTAAAACTAGCGAAGTTTTGTGGCGTGCACCACATGTAATGGACAACGTAGGAAGAAATTCTGAAACAATATTATACATGAGTTTAACATGAACGCCGAAACTCTCATGTTAGACATTCGCCGCTACACACATATACTTAACACTTACAATTTAAAAATACATTAGTTCTACGTTCAAAACAAACTGAATATGCAGAAATAAAGCACGTTTTTTATCGACTTGTGCATTTATAAATCACAAATACAAATCAACAGGTTTAATTTTTCTATGAAGATCATCAAATCGTCTGAACACCGACAACAACAAAAACCTTTTGCACTGAAGAAATTCCTAAAACAAAAATGTTTCGACTTTATATTTCCTGTAAAGAGAGAATAGTTGGCTATATTTTTTGATGACCAACAAGGTCATTAATTATTCATTGTTGGAGATAAGATAACGTCGTTGTCTATGAAAGAGATATTTTTCATTGTTTAATATTGGGAATGAATGTTACTAGGGATAAATCTTTCTTCTCTAGACGCGCTGGCGTTTCAAGCTGTCAAATTGAAATTATTGCTGGGTTAGTGTAATAGTAGTTTCTAGGGTGATTGATTAGAAGATCTTCTGAATAAAAGTACCTGATGACAAACAGTGACAAATAGTTTTTCTTCGTGAATTGCATTCAATGATATTAAAAAAGCAGAATTAATCTAAACTCTGCTACGTTCACAGAAGGAATAGTATTCAAAATTCCCGGTAACTCTATAAAAACTTTACGTTTTGCTATAAACCGATGATTTTTTAGTGTGTGTCACAAAAAAAAACTTCATTTTGACCTAATCCTTCTTCAGTTTTAATAAATCATTGTACTTCGTGAGACTTAAAATGAAGTCACCGGAAATTCCTTGTAAAACTATGAATCAACTCTTTGTCAAAAACTCGAGCTTCGATACTTTCACTCTAAAGCATAAATTGGCGGGTTATTACACGAGAGTGAGCTTAGACATGTAAATATTTACAGACCTGGTAACATTAACATCTATATAAGCATGGCCAAAAGGCATAGATACCTCAACTTCTTGATGACAAACATATAATACTTGGATGAAGTTTTGGTAATCATTGTCTTGTTACGAGCTTTTACAACAGTTTATTCAAAGAGCATATGGTAACACTTTTCTAAAGCTCTTCCATTGAAGGAGTTGACTCAGGAGGGGACAGCGGTAACTCTATAGAATTACAACGCTAAAATCTGGAGTTTAATTCCTCGCGATGGACCCATCAGATAGCCCATTGTGGCTTAGCTCTAAAATAAACAAATAAACAAGCCGAAAGAACTAATATTTAGCAAAGATTAGCAAAGAAGACATTAGTATGAACTACAGAAATTCAATGATAAATATTTGATCATCAAAAAAAAAAAAGGAGTATCACTTAGGAAATCGAATGGAAAGGGACATTTTAAGGTTCGGTCGAAACAAATTGGCCTAGTGTAACCAAGCGGTTAAGGCACTTGACGCGCAGTCTATTGGTCGTGGGTTCGAATCCCATCAATAAACATAATTGTCTATTTCAGCCGTGAGTGCGTTATAATGTTACGGCCAAAACCACTTTTCGTTGGTAAAAGAGTAACCTAAGAGTTGGCGGTGGGTAGTGTTGACTAGTCGCCTTCCCTCTAACTGTCACTTCAAAGTTAGAGCTAGCTGAAGTAGAAATCCTTTCGAGCAGCTTTGTACGAAATTCGCTAAAGAAACAAACAAATAAACAATGAAAACGATCTTTAAGATATCAAGCTAGAGCTTAAGCCTAATAATCCTCTCATATACTCACAGCTAAGTCTTCTGGAAGTAAAGAACCAGAAGTCGAACCGGACTTCACAGAACCGATTCCAAATGTCACTGTATCAGTAGGGAGAGATGTCAAGCTGGCCTGCGTTGTGGAAAACTTAGGGTCATACAGGGTATGTGATTTATGTCTGTCTATTTTGGTATGTTTTATATGATTTCTTGCATATCCATTATTGGTGAGAGTGTATAAATAGCACGAGTTCCAGATGATAATACTTCAAAACGTAGTTCTTATATAAGGTAAAGTTTACATAAATTCAATTCTAAGTTCGGCTAATGTTAGCCCAGAAATTGCTAAATTAGATAGCTAAAGTAAAATTAACGAAGCAAATACAATCATAAATATAATAATACATTTATTTATAATAGTATTTACTTTGTGTTGCTTGTATTTTATTAATCAACTACTGACTGGGTCATTGGAGATACAAGGTCAATACGGTAGTTCCAGAGTTAATCACAGTTTAAAAGATACTGA